ATTGAAGAGAACAGGCCCCTCTTGTACGTACTTTGCAAGAGGAAATCTACTTTATAACTGTATGATTAAGATCTTTCCATGTCACAACTTCAGGGACCAATTACCTCGGGAGGTGGTGAGGGCTCAACGGTTGAGACATTCAAGAGAATATTGAATCTGTCTGTCAGATCTGCTTTGATCTAGATTCTTGCAGTGAGGAGGGGGTTGGATATGATGGCCTTACAGACCTCTTCCTATGGAATTATTAAATATTCTATTATTCTTTTTCTTTGAGAGCCTGCCATCATTACATGTGCAAAAGATAGCCACGAGTGTCTGCAATGAAATTGGTGTTTGTTCTCCTAAATCCTTACTATTTTAATATACACAGGCAGATGCAGTGCAATGCAATGCTACATGCTATGTATGTGAATTATGCTTACATACCACTATGTAGTTTCTCTCTCCCTTAAAACAAATACTGCAGACAATCTTGGGTACCACTGAACATAGCTGGATATCACTTCAGAGTAAGCATACACAGAGTGGAACTAGAAGTCAAGACATTGAAACTGACTGACCATGCAGTCCTTTCCATGCACCATATTTATTAGTATTCCTCAATATAACTTCAATGCATTATGGAAGCAAAATCCTATGTTTTGCCTCTTTAAATAGATGGAATTAAAGAAAGTAGCACTAGCGTGTAGGCCATCCTAATCTGACATAAATAACTATGCTTGGAATTATGATAATTTTCTGTAATCATTTATTTTGGGGCTATGGTGTAATTGTCAACTTGCCCCAATGATGAAAAGACTGTAAATCCTCAATTCAGCATGCAATTTTCATCACTTTTTGAACTGCTGCTGCTGCTGCATCAGTTTGTAGTTGCCCAACTGTGTGCTGGGGGACTCAACAGACACAATGGAACTAAAATACACAAACACCATGACCAAGGTAGAACAACTGCACCACTGCAGATGTGCATGCTTTCCATTAGACCAGACTTACTCTCAAATGTCATTTAAATTCTTCCTTATTCAGTTCCCCAAGAACCTCCCCAAAACTCTACAGAGTGACCAATATAACTAGAAACCAGATGTAATGGAGGTAGCCCTCCATAGGAAGAAAAACTTATCTCAGGCATCCATACTTTTGACCCATATGCTCCTCCAAAACATTAGAGGCTGTTATAATTCTGTACCTAATTCTCTCTAGATCCACATTGTTGCTTTACCTTTGGCAAAGGCACATGGAGAGGTAAGTCCATAATATTTGCATCTTGCTAATAAGTGTCCATTTATATTTGCAGATACATTTAGAGCAATTTTAGCAAAAGATATGTGGCAAAATAGAGTACTCAAACGCCACAGAAAGATGGGAGAGTGGCTTAACATGATCAGTGGTACCTGAATCATGAGGATCAAAAGCTCCAAAAAACACACAACCAGCTTCAATTGTACTGCAATTTACCTTTTCAGAAATACCACCTGATTGGTGACTAGTGTTTTGTGACATTAGAAATCTGTGACTTTGCTTATATTTCACCAAGACAAGATCAGTTTTCTTGCTTTATCTACTTATATGTAGTTGTATAATTATTCTGTAGTCATGATTTTTGTCTTAAAGTTCAACTGCAGTTTTTCTTTGGCACACGCTTCTAGGAAAATTATAAGTAATTGGATATGCCCCTATGCAAAATTTTCTTCAAACCCAAGAACAGCAACACCTAACTCACTCCCTGCTATAATGGAAACCCCATATTACTAAATTAGAAGCTAGTATTGGTCTGTTGTGTGTGTTTTTTAACCAAAATTCTTCCTGCTACCTCAACTGCCCCTTCCCCCTGTTGGCTTGTACTAGAAGAATGTGTTCCAGTCCTTCTGGGCACAGAAATGTTGGCTCTTACTTCTGTGGGGCCTTGCCTTACAGTAAACCATTTTGGAATCAGATGCAAGGTGAAATAGCAGCCATCATACAGAGGTCTTTTACCCATACTGAAGAACTTTGCTTGCTCCGTACTTTTATTGAATTCAACAAGAATTTTGTTCCAATGCTCTTCTTCCTCCTGGCAACAGTTACCACTAAAGTGGGCAGAAACTGGATGAATACTTTTAGTTTTAAAAAGGAATCATGAACTCATGATCAGGTAAATAGCTCATAACACTGGCTGAAGAGATAGCACCCAAAGTAAGATAAGGCTGGCTCAATCAGCAGTCTTTGTTACAAACTTACTGTATTTTCTAGAAACCACATGGGGAATTCTTTACCTTCTCACACTAAAACATGGACAAATTCAGATTAGTGAATTAAATGCTAAGCTTTTTCTGCACTCCACTATATGGTACATAACGAGCCACTGACTGTCTGTAACAATTACTTCATTTTACATCCGTACGTTTTCTTCCCTGTTCTGGCATCCATTTCCTTGTTCTTTTGTAGATGACATTATGTTACTGTGCTTTTGTAACCTTATAAAATTTAGCTCTCTGTTCTTTCTCCCTCTGTACAAAAATTAATTTCAGAAGAAATAAATCTGCAATTTTGGTTTTCTGAGCCTTGGAAAATTTATCACTGATATAATTGCTGTGTCACACCTACTTTAATTGTTGGTTTCTTATTTGTCTGTAAGCAAGAGGAATACTACCTACTTTCTGCATTTACTTCTGTATCACACTTCCCCACCCAGGTGCCTTCCAGTCCTCATTCCCACCCAGCATGGTTAATAACTGTATTGGCTAAAGTTGAAAGGTACTGTAGTTCAAGGCTGAACAAGCTTACTTTATAGGGTCTTCTGAATTTATTACTAAATCTAAAGTTCTAGTTAACGATCACAGAAAGGACAGTAGGAAATAAAAGTTTATAGTGGAGAAACAAATAACTGAAATAAAATAAAATGATTGATTTTGGGAAAGGGAATGGAGAATAAAAAGGGGAGAAACAAGAGCAAAGAGAAAGTGAGAAACCAAAGCGAAATAGATGGAGCTGAGGTCAATGGATGGGTTAGATTAAGCTTGAAGCAAGAAAGGGAACTGGGTTGTTGTCATTGAACAACAGCCCATATTTATGGCACTGCTGCTGCACACAGCCCCATTGGACTCAAAAGTTTAGAAGGCATGCTATGATTTCTGTATGACATGTACAGCGATATCAGGCTGACACTGTCAGAGTCACAATGCACCTAAGTTAGTTTCTCCCGTTTGTGTAGACAATGAAGAAATTAGAACCTAGTAGGCATAATTGATGCAATTTGTTAATTTGGGGTGCATTGCTGGTTTATTCTTCTGGTTGCTATATGTAGGCTGCCCACATAGTATAAAAACTGGAAGAATATCAAGGGCTTTTGTCCATAGTGAAAAGTTTGGGAAGCAGGAGGTAAATCCTTCACAACAGGTAAATAAAATTATTCTGGGTATCTCTTTCATTAGACATTTTATTAACATATTTTGGTGTTGGAAGCATGGATGGAAACAAGACAGGACAAATAATAAAATCCCTGTACCGATATGTGCTCATAATTAAATCTAGGAATTAGAAAGAGCGGGTCCTGGATGCTAGAACATGAACTTCACCTCAACAGAAGAGTCACTGCAAGTGTGAAAATGCTGATGTTACACCATCCTATACGTAAGCAAAATACTGAGAACAGACCAGTAGTTCCGCCAATCTGGTGCTGACTGGACTTCATGTTACTGCAATTATCTGGTAAGTTACTATTATTAGTTGTTCACTCTCTATGACTTTGGTGCTATAAAAAAAGCCACCAAGAGCACCCTCTCTTTCTCAAAAGAGTTATTCTTTCTAATGTACAAACCTGATACTTCTGAACTGCCATCAACTGGACCAGAAATATTTCTGTGCTGGAAGGAAAGGAAGAAAAAAAATCAAATTTAAAATAGAAGAGTAAGTAATTTTAAAAAGACAATAAATAATGGAAATATGGATATATTTTAGATGGAACTGAAACATGGATACGTTTTAGACGCAATTCAAGCTGTTTTTGGAACAGGTTCTGTGGATTTTGAAGGTGAAGGTTGGTTTCTACTTATTGTTTCTGTATATAAGAAGCCATGTATTTGCTTCCATCAGTTCATCCTTGCTGGATGGGGATGGTAGGATTTGTAGTCACCTCTGGGAGTCGCCATATTGCAGAAGGCTTAGCTCAGGAGAACAGCTAGTGCTCTGATGGTGTTAGAAAACCTACCTAACCCTAGGATAATATAAATAAGACACTTTTTGTCCCCATTGTCTGGAAACAGAGGTTGAAATCCAATGGTAAGTCACACCTAGAGTAGACCCATTGAATCTTTGGGGATTTGGTGACTCAACACCGAAGTAACTTCCAGTGATTCAATGGCCTTACCCTGATTTATTTATTTACAATATTTTTTTAGCCGCGCCATTACCAGTGGTCTCTGAGCGGCTTACAACAAGATTAAAACTTTGAAAACCATTAAAAATAGGCAATAGTATAATAATACCCTATATTAAAAACAATCATTAAAACATTAGTATTAATAAATCCTGATTGTGATTTACTACTGGATTTGGACCAGGATTTCTGCTTTGAATGTGTCCCACGCCCCACTCACCCACCCTCACCCCGCAGCCCAGGAACGGTGTTGAAGGATATTGCCTCAAAATCAAGGCTAACAATATGCAGTGAGAAGAAGGTCACTCCGCATATGCTCCGTGCCACTTTTCCTGCTTAAGGGCGGGAAGAAGATAACAGGTCAAGTACCTCAGCAAACCATACCCGGGGCTTCTTCCTTTCCCCAACCCCCACCCCGTCTCCACTATTCTGCTTTTCATTTCCCCTCCGGACTCGACTTCGGTCGGGGAATTCGACAACCTCCTGAGGCCCTGGGTATTAATAGCCTAACGGCGCTTCCAGCCCAAAATAACCCGCCTGGGCCAGAGAGAGGGAGAGAGAGGCCCCATGCGGCGCGGGGAGAGGGCGCTGAGTGGGGGGGAAAGAGAGGAGGGGGGTGGCCACTGTGTATGTGTGTGTATGTGTGTGTGTGCTCGCGTGTGCGCGCGTCGGGACAGCTGCAGCCGGGCTGGGGCTCGCTTGGAATGCAGGCGCGGGCTGCGCACCGGGACTTTTATGGAAACTTGCAGAGCCCGGCGCCGGAGCCGCAGCCAAGGGGCGAGCGTCAAGCAGCCGCGGTAGCCGCCGTCGTAGCAGCAGCAGCAGCAGCAGCGGCGGAGACGGCTCTCTTGCTCTTCTCACGCCCACCCAACCGCGGGGATTAACTGGAGGCGAAGCGGGACGCGCACAGGGGCGCTCAGGTACGAGAAGCCGCGCGGGGGCGGAGGAGGGGGGGCCGGGTTGAGTTTGGTGGGGGGTTTTTTTGGGCACAAAGGTCACCTCGAGGCGGTCATCTGGCGCGCCGCGAGGTGAAGGCTCCGGGAGAACGGCCGGGAAAGGGAGGGAGGAGAGCCGCGTCTCCTGGGGGGAAGGTGCCTCCGGTTCCAACGTAGAGCCTGTCTCAGCTCTTGGTTTTGTTTTCTAATGAATAGGAACCCCCCCCCTCCGTTGTTGTTGTCGGCTTTTGCTTGTCCTTGTTCGAGGTGGTCTTGGGGGTGTTCCTCTCCAGCCACCCCGCTTGCGTTGTCTTTTGGCTATTAGTTTGGTATTCGTCTTACAGAAAAGGGATGGATGGCTCGTCCTCGCCCCCCCCCCCCCGCCCAGCCTTTTGACACAGACGAAATTTGCTTCTCCCTCCCCAACCCCTTCTCCGGCCAGTTAGTGCGCCTGTTTAGTGTCTCCTTAGGAAGGCAGCCCCTCAGCTCTTTCACTCTTCGCCCCCCCCCGCCCGTCCCGCCATCCCATCCCCTCGTCACGAGCTTCGTTCTTCTTCTTCTCTGCCAAAGAGCAACAGTCGAAGATTCCCCTCTAAAGCGCTTTTTCTTACTTGGGAGGGAATTCTAGACTTCGAGGCTTTGCAGGACAGGATTGCATCTTCACCACGGTGGGGGTGGGGGAGGAGGGGAGAGGTGGATCGGTCAGATCCAAACTCTTGTGCAAGGGCAGAAGAAATTATGCCTGGTGTGACATCTTGAACAGGGTAATGCCCAGATGTCCCTCGTTTCAAAGGCGAGCCCTTTTATTCTGAAACGACTCCACTTGAACATATTGCAACAGTCTAAAATATCTACCACAACGTAGAAAGAGGCCCACCCCATTCAGGTTTATATATTGCAGTACCATTGAATAAATACAGTTCCCCGGTGCAAATAAATCAGGGCAAGAGGCAGAGGAGTTTAACTGAGAAGAACAGCGTGGATTACACTGAGGTCTGTCTGCTACCCAGAGGTCAATGTAAAGGAAACCTTTTGCTGAAAGGTGTGGGACTGATCAGTAGCTAAGGAGATGACAATGAGGAATAAGGTGCTGAGCTAATATTAGAGCCACAGTTGTGGCAGTGGTGATAGAGTCACCAGATAAGTGGGTGGGTGATCTCTAAACCCTTGCTCTCGTCATTTGCTTATCTTGTGGAAATCACTGTGCCCTTACTAAACTGAAAAAGCTGTTCAAGTGACACAGATCATAAGAATGTCTTTTAAAGCTGTCTCCCCAAAGTGCCAGGTTTTTAGTGGCCTTACCCACTGTCCAGATTTGATTCACAGAGTACGCTATGAAGAACGCTAATTTTACAGAATGCAAAGGCAAAAAGCCAGGGAAGCAAGAAGTGGTTACACGATTTTGCAAGGGACCTAAACTGGAAAACCAAGTGCTTCTTGTTAAAAGAATTTAATGAGTTGAGGATGTGAGTTGATTAAAATATAATAATACATTTTAATTCCTTTGCATTATATACTGTATAAGAAAGCGGTGTCTTATTGTATATAGTCAAAGGCCATTACAATAAAATAAAAGTATATAAGCAAAACCCAATATACACAGACTCCATAATGAAATAGAAGATATTGAGTCATGAAATAAAATACTGTACAAGCATCACTTTTAGATCAAGGACCACTAGTGTAGTTCACATATGAACAAAGAAATGAATATTCAAGCATACCTTAAACAAATATGTCTGTGTTCCTTTGTATGGAATGCATGTATGTATGTGCTTAACATACTGCTTTTAATTTTTTTTAACATATACATATACATTTAGAATAAATTTCACTGCTAAATACAAAGGACGTGTTTTATGTTCTGTCAAGTTACCTTTAACTATACTTTATTTTAAAAACAGATGGATGGAAGTAAATTCTTGTTATGCATATTACATTCTTGTTATGTTACCATATAGCTGGTATAGTTTACTTATTTTAAAATCATTTTAAATCTGACCTTTCTCAGAACTGTGGTATTTGTTTGAAAGAAGAAAATGGAGTAGCCATTGTCTACAAATCCAACTTAGAGGTTACTAGGCGTTCCTCGGTGGTAAAGCCAGGTCTAGAGGCACTCCACGTGTCGATAGGGGCTAGGGAAGGTATTGGGATTTTGCTGGGTTACCGCGCTCCCTGCGACCCAGCCACTTCCCTACTGGAGCTGGCCGACTTTGTCTCCGCGGCATTATTGGGATCCCCGAGGCTTTTGGTCTTGGGTGATTTCAACGTGCATGCGGGGGCAGAGACCACAGGGCCAGCTCTTGAGTTCTTGGAAACCATGGCTTCCTTGAACATGTCCCAACATGTCATCAGCCCCACCCACGTGGGTGACCATACGTTAGACCTGGTTTTTTCCACCAACTGGAGCGAGTGTGGTCTGGTGGTGACTGACCTCG